TTCATATTAGAGCTTATTATTATATATAAACATTATATGTAATGTTTACAAAATATACGTAACAGGTTATTAACTATATAATAATAAACATTTAATTTTGTGGTTTAATCAAATCCCTGAGTAAACGTTCTGTGAGGTTTATTGCATGAAAGGTAACACATTCAAATATACTGAGTGTACCTACCCAAACATCAATTTGTATTTAACTATGTTGTTTGGTAAAGTTTACTCTAGCTTTCATTTTGGAGCTAATTTACAAAAGTTCCCTTATTTGTTGTACCAATTCGAATTGGTAAAGTTCAATAGGTTTATTTCTATTACTTAAATTAATCAATAGGATATCCGTATGTGAAACTGATAGAAATAAACACTTAAATTTTTGTACATGTACTAAATATTACATATTATTTGTACGTTTAGAATATCTATTAATAACTTTCATAACTGACAAATATATATTAGCTGTTATCCGCGACTTCGTCTGCTTTTTTTGAGATCTAAAGCATGTCTGACCTCGTGATATAGTCTACTTTTACGGCTTGGATTAATATTTGTGTAAGTGTTAAAAGGTAATGGACAGACAAACTATATTTATAATATTAGTATTATTTATGAATAATAGTACCTATATGTATAAAATCTCAAGTGTTGCGTTCACGATAGCATCGACAATTGACAATGCCCCTGTCTATCATATCTGGGTCATTGACGATAGGTTATTGTATTTGACATAGAATTATATGTCTCTTCCTAGTCCTATACCAATTTCAAAGTTACGATTTAAGAAAATAATAAATAAATTAAATTTCTATTAGGTATTTGAATCTCTCGTATATGTGCGTGTTTGATTGCTAGCACATATGGTAAGCCACCTTGACATCTACAAGTCGGGCTGGAATTTATTAAGAGCAGTTGATACCTACTCAAATGGAGCTTACTCAGAAGCGCGAACCTAACTAATTTATAGTGTTTCACAAATTGCGGAAAGGTTAATTCCAATAGGATTAGGTAATGTTTATAAAGAACATTTTGGCCTTGGTTCTATTATGTTGTTTTTTTTTATTACTAACAATATTATAGAATATGAGGATGGAAGAGCATTTTACATGTCCGTAATGATCTAAAATATAATTATAAATGGATCCACAATACCTAAAATTAATCCGATTTTCATAAGCTTTAGTACTTATCGCAATTTAACTCCATCATTAATGCAGCGGATTATACTGCAAAGCCATCGGATTAAAATAAGGAAATACTTTGAATTAATATTATGAAATCGGAAAAAAGATAGATATAATATGGGAAGCACCGAAAAGCCGATACAGCAGTACATATATTTTTTATAAAGTCCTAGTGACCCGCTCATCTCACACCGGTATTTTAATGAATTTATACAAAACCCTAACGACTTACACACCAAAAACTTTCTCTTTAATCACTCTGTAGTTTTGTAAAAACGTGGCTAACATTCTTATTTTGTCAATCTTTATTTTATTTTATATGTAATTTAATAAATTGGTAGTTTATCTATATATTTCGAAATCTATCGCCGTACATGTATGTAAAGAAACGAGATAGATCGGCCGGCATTGAATGACTTGGCAGGTGATCGATTGAGTTTGATAATATCAGTGTAAAAAATTCTGATAATTTACTAAGCATGGGGAACTTTATGTTGGAAATGCGTAGAAATTTTACTGTGTCGTCAATTAAACTCAACCAGTATTTTCATCCCCAATTCTTCATTAAAATAATAAAAGCGAGAAACTACAACATAATGAGAACATAATTTGAAGAAAAACTTGAAGTAAACCCCAATAATAAGCCACTAATATATGTAGAGTGGCTTATATTAGGATTTACTTCAAATGCTACTGCTATTATATGTCATAATAAGGAAATCAATTGTGATAGTAGTTGTGAAATCGCTATCGTACCTACGTATATATGATTATACATATATACGTAGGTACGATAGCGATAATTAACAAATTCCTTTAAAAAATTTGAGATCCTCTTTGTTTTGATATGTGGGCGATAATAACAATAGATTCCACTGCACTATATATATTATAATATAACTAGTACCTATTTAGTAATAAATAGAATAGGTCGTTTATCTCTAGTTCCAATTATAGCATTACAAACGACGTGATAGGTATGCTCAGTAAGAAAACTTTAAAAGAATCTTACAGTCTTCTAATTATTCTTTTGTATCTAATGACTCACATAAGGATTTTCATTTATATAAATTTATATAAATGAAAATCCTTATGTGAGTCAAATGTGTAAGTTATATAACTTACTTTACTCTAATTACTCTAAACTATCTGACCCGCATATCATATTTTGGATCACACTTACTTGACATCTATCATTATATTTCGGCCAATTTATATAATATTTAATCTTTTTATATTATAGTCTATATGTTATTCTGATGTATAAGCTGCATTACTGTAAAGTTTCATCAAAATCCATTCAGCAGTTTTTGCATGAAAGAGTAATTTCAAACATTCATCCATTCATTCATACTTACAAATATTCGCGTTTATAATATTAGAGTAAGATTAAATCTAAAGTAAGCATCTAAACTTCATGTACACGAGCCATTCTATCAGGAAGTAACGTCGTAAATGTACTTACTTCTACATTTGTGTATTTTCATTAAAATCCACTGTAAATTTTGAATAAAGCTAAATTTTAGTCGTTGATAAAATTTACAATCAAGTCACATAGTTATTGTCTTGATGCTTGTTATACTTAAGTAACAAGCATCAAGTACTATAAGTAGGTATATAAAATTTGTAATAAAGTGAATTGGTGTGAAATGAGAAAACGCGCATTTTAGAATAGTTACAAAATATTAGGAGTTTCCTATTTGAGAATTAGGCATAGGTATAGCAGATTAATATTCTTAATGATGGCTTAAGGAATAAGAATGTAAAATAATATATATTCTACTTCAATAGCATTTAATTTTATTTGTATACATTTTATTTTAAACAATCTAATACGCGCTACTTTCTAATTTAATACTTTAAAATTATTTTTTTCTTAAGGTCATCAATTACATATATCGGAGAAAGTATAAAATATTATACTGCCTTTTGGTGTTATAGTATTTCTGTCCAGACTGTAATAGAGGCAGTTTTGGTGGTAAGTACCATGACGGGTAACCGGTGAGCCGTGTCGTCCCCGTTTACTATAAAATATCACTAAGGGTCAGAAATTGCAGATATTTTTCAGTGTTACCCTCACATTTATAATATATGGTCGATGTATCAAGTTCATTGTATAGAATTATATTCTTAAGAATGTTATAAATTACAACGCATTTGGACATGATACCTACTAAGTTTTTATCTATTATCTTAGTTGAGAATTTTGTAAATATATAACAATATTTCTAGGTAAGATTACCTATATCTATTTGGAATCATAATAAGAGGAGTAAAATCTGGTTGTATTATATTACTATAGAATAATTAATTTTTGGTTAACGTACGGAAAATTCTATGAATACTTTATATTCATTATTCATGTTCTACAACATTAGATCAAATGCTGGAAATTTGGTATGTTTTACAAGGTAAATCCAATTGTTCTTGTTGTTCTGTTTATTAATCATTTTGTCATTTCTCAATTACTATTTAATAATTTAATGATTTATTTTGAGGACGCGAGTCTTTTACATGACACACGTTTACATAAAATTCTCCATCTTTCTTGTCAAACAACAACCATAATCTGAAGTAAAACCAATATCATACATGCACGTGTTGTACTATATATATAGAATATTGATACTTTGTTATTAAAAGTAATTTACCTGGTGATTTTGATAAAATATTACAGAAAATAAACTTATATATTCGTACTCATCTATCGACATATTATAAATATGAATATGTACCTATATGTTAGACATTTTAATATAGTCGTCGATTTTGCAGAAATAAAACATTTGTATTCCGTATTGGTAATAGGTATGTAATTTGTGTTATCATAAAAACCTTAACGAATTTATCTGTATGTTATAAAAAACAATGCTGCATAATCTGCGTACGTCGCGTCGTAAGCGGGGCCATGATGTATCATTATCATTGTTTAAACATTTATGTGTGTATTGCGTAAGCTTTTATGGAAAATCGATAAAGTTTACGACCACATACGCCATTGCGATTGTCGGGGGTGAAGACAATGAGTTTAAATTATCAAAGTTCCAACATTCAACAGTGATAAAATGCAGATAGTGTATTCATCCTTAGTGACCCTTAGATCCTCTATAGTTTGACTTCAATAATCTTCTCTCATTTTGGTACCATATCTATTACTTTTGTACACGAAGTAAAGTCTTTTATTTTATCTGTAAAAAATACTGTACTTATTGGGAGTCCGAACGTGAGAGTGATATATTCATATAACTTTGTTTCATACCGTAGCCATGATTCTTTATCGCAGTTAGTTGAGCGCAGACATGTTCAATATACTTGCCTCGACTGACTGATCTAGTAATAGATCAAAGTATCAAAGTATACCCTAAATCCCCAGTCTAGTAACTTTGGATACCTATAAGCTTCTTTTATTACGTAACCATTCACAATCTATAAAAACAAAATGAGAGATAACTGGATTGTGCGGGTGAATCAGCGGTAAACAACTGGTAAATAATATGTATATTTGTGTTATCCAGTAAGATACCTAACCTAAAACTTACAAACCTATATGTTAGCGATAACATTAGCCAATCACCGATAACTAAAGTATTTATAATAAGCAATTTGAATTGGCAAATTCGTTTTTCAAGCTCACTGAAAGGAAAACACTCGTAATGACAAAAGTTACACTGTTTAATTATTTAAGATTTAGCAATGTCATTTACCTAATGGACAAATACGCCACGTGTAGGATTACGGACGTCCGAAACACCTATTTGTCAAACTAAAACGTCAGCCTTAGTGGACATTCATGACTAATGTTTTGTTTGTCTACAGGTGAGGTGATGGATTTGATGGCGCTTGTGGGATCAGCCGTCAACTTTGTACTCTATTGCAGCATGAGCCGGCAATTTAGGTCCACGTTCACGAGACTAGCACGAAAGGTTTTGCCCCTTCCGAGGGCTGACGGAGAAGCCTTAGTGTCACTCAAAACGTAGCGGTCGCAAGTTGCAGCCACCTCGGTTACCCATCTCTGAGTGGACATGAATGCCAAATCAACAAGTGGAGTTCGTACTGGAAATATTAAGGATTATCTAGTGATATTGTATATGGTTCAGTGATTATATTTAATAACATTCGTGACAAATATAAATAATATAGTAGTCTAAAGTGTTAAATAGACTTTATGCAATTTAAAATTTAATTATTATTTAATAACCATGACTTTAGTAACTATTGCATAAAACGTGTTCAAGTTATTTGAAAGCTCAGGTTTTTAAGTACATAATTATATTCATGTGCTCATTATTAATATAATTGTCAGATCGACTGTTAGAGAATAAGTCGCAGACTAAACTCTTAGTATCTTGTATATAAGTTAAATAGATATAATCAAAACGCATAAAAGCAAAATGGAGATAGATGGTGCAACGAGAACGAAGAATTAGTAACAGCCTAAATTAATAGCTTTACTGTTTAGGTAATAGTATCTAATAGTTCGGGTAAATTTATGTTTATCGAATATGCAAATTTGATCAAATAGAAGACAGTACAGTAGATAGATTTATAAGTTTTTCGGATAGTATTTGCTATTTTTGACCGTGCCATTAATATAAACACCAGCCTGCATAGATCAATCAGTAATAAACAATTATACACCATGGTCAAAGGTTTGAAATATTTCATATTGAAAATACAATTTTAACTGTAAGAAAAATAGTTAGAATTTTAAGTAATTGAAAAGTACTTACCAAATGAGTATGTAAGTACTGCGCAACGAATGTTGAAGAAAAAAGGTACCTATATAACATACTGTAAATGCTTGTACTTCAATGATATAGTATATCTACCGGTGTACCTGCTTTTTTTCTAATTATGCTACTATTATTGTTTATTGTAATAAAAATGTGTCAATAAATGTTATATGTTAATAAAAATATAATACCTAACTATGTATTAAATTAGATAAATGCAGGTGCTATTTGTAATAATAAGTAAATTTATAAAGTCCTTAAGACTAACATTTAGAATTATAAATTAATATGTATTGACTCTCTGTAGAGAGGTTATATGTTTATAAGTTACAAAAAAATAGCTATTATTTTTCAATACGGCTGAATAATTTAAAATCAGACCGTATACTATGAATTGAGGTAAAATATTAATAAAATGTTAAAACTATACACTTTAAGTATTTATACCTTCCAAGAAAAATATTTTCCTTATAATTAATTAAATAACAAATTTTAACAAATGCATAATATTGTATTGTGTAAAGGTACAAGTATAGTTACGTAACGAATTTGTGAGTTATGTCGATTAGGAGATATATTATTAAAAACTGAGAAAGGTGCATATTATTCTAAGATAGAATTTTTAAATAAAATGAATCTTTGAACCAAATTTCTTAATAGTTATTTAGGTTATGTATATATCAGTGTTGACATAGGATAATAATATCAATATATTCTGTTAAAAGTATAAGAATAAGTATTATAATATTTATATACATTATAATATATGAATGTCACTATAGCTATACAGTAATATTATAAGTTAATGGGGTCTTAATACAAATATTTTTTGGGAAAATAAAGGTATTTATCTCTCACGACATTTTGAATAGATCTCTAGCCGTAGTCACGAAGGCAAATACGTTCGGAGAAAATCTCTGGTTGTTACGTTCGATGATAATTTTATCTTTTAAAATCTATTAAAATAACTTACGCATATATACAAAATTATATGAGGTACAATTTTCGAATAACAAGTAAAACAACGACCACCTCTAAATGTGTACGTTGTATTCATATAAAAATAACACCACATTTTCTGCTTTATAGTAGGTAACTGTAACTCGGAAAATTTGTTGTTTGTTATAAATGAAAACATGTATTTAAAATTAGTTTCAGTTACCTACGCGTATAATTAAGTGCAGGGTAACACAATATATACTTACATAGATACATCATCATGTATCTATGTATATATTGTGTTATCGTTTACATATATCATATATAAATTAATGAAGATTATGGAAGCAGGCTCTAATTTCTATAAATAAATCCAAATGAGGCATATTAAACTCATTTTAAGGGACTTTGAATAATTGTGTTTGAAAATATTTCACTTAATTTTTTATATATTTTTTGTACCATTGCCAAAATATAAATATATCTACTAATATAAGCACGTATCCATTATCGATTATATCTACGAAGTCGGGATGATTTATGATTGTTGAAGAATCGATGGCCATAAGCTTCGACAGTCAATTCATTTTATAAGAAATGTTTGATTTTATTAATTTATAATATGATGATAGTTATAACTATCAACAGTAATATATTTCAAATGCCGATATACAGACATGTTCTCAATCAAAGTTGATATAATGTCATCATTTCTGTAGCAAAAATATTAGAACACAAAACAATTTGTTCGTTACAGTGATTATACTCTTAGATTGCGAAATGAACTATCTACTGAGGTTTTCCCTAGAGACTACAGCATGAGATTTTCAAGAAGGTTTCATATTAAGGTTTCTTAAGTCAGCAAAGCGTACGTGACACTTCTGGTGTTTCAGGCGTCTATAAGCTACGGTAACCATTGACCTTCATATGGGCGTATGCTTGATTGCCATCTTTGTATTATAAAAAAAATATAAATTGTATTTTTTTTTTTTTATTATTAATGGGTTTGCGCTTGGTATTACCTCATCTGATGGAAAGTCTAGGATGTAGCGCGCTTACCCAGAAGATATCTATTCACCATAGACTTGAAGAACTTTGTGCTATCATCTGCGTAACCGAACATGCCCGGTCCCAACAGATCATTAATATGGAGCAAAAAGAAAGTTGCAGAAAGAACAGATCCCTGAGGTACTCCAAAATTGATGACTCTGAGGTCTGAAGAGCAACCGTCAACGACCACTCGAATGGTCCTATTATTTAGGAAATCTTCAATCCCGGAGCACAGGTTATTGGCGATTCTGTATGAAGGGAGCTTACTTACATTTGATAGAGTTTGGCACGCTAGAAAAAATATCTAGTGAGACAGCTAGAGCCTCACCGTGCTTATCATTTTATGGTTGATAATAGAATATTGCACTCGCCTGCGCTAACGGTTGACACTAGCGGGTCAGGTCAGTTAGCCCATCATGACATATTCACCAATAATTTATCACGATGGTTTCAAGTGGGAACCGCATGAAGGTCATCCCGACATGGTACATTGCTAGCAATGGAGTCAACAGTTCACATTACTAACAATCCCCTTCCCCACAGAAACTGTATTCCCATATATATTTGTAATAGAAATGTGATACGAAATTCTGACATGACATTATGACCTCATTTTGGAGGGAATATATATTTCGTAGACCAATCAATTCATATTCTAGCGTGAGGTTGTAGTTTGTTGTAATCTACGAGTATGAAACTTTACGGGAGATGTCACACGCCAGTATCCCACTCGAAGTTGTCTCATACGGTTTCATACCACAACTACGAATGTCATTGCAGTCATGTCCTGATCGCAATGTGGTGAAGTCTAGTTTGCAACTTTTCTTACCATACATATATGGGTTGCATTATTTTTTTATGCAAATATAAAATATCGAAATTGAACTGTATTTGGCATGTTTGTTATGCTGAATAGATTTTGATGAGTCTTTTTACATTTGACGAGACTTTTTTTTTCCATATAAGTTTTATAGACACTCTCTTTACCATATTTGAAGCTGAACAAAAATAAAATTATATAACATAATGTAATATTTTTTTTTATTCATCGTCTAAGACTTAGACGACTTTAAGTCATCAGAGATGCTAACAATTAATAACTACTGACTCTGACTGGATTAAAGAAGGTTGGCTGTAGACGTTTCAATTGAAGAAGTTAGTAATCAGTACCAACATTTGAGAGGCAAACTTTGTACATCATGTGGGTCTTTAACAAAACAGTTTGAGCATGAAAACTTGGTTGGTACAAGCAAGTAGTGCACCAAACAGAACAAAATAATTTTCGTATTGTCATAACTTTCAAGTAAGTACAAAATGATGGAATTATTATGACATCGTTTTGGGAAAGGAGGGCACAGCAAGATGTATTTCGGTACATCTTGCTCGACTTGGGGCGGCCCGAACTGGCGTAGTACCTCCACCAAGCGGAAAACCACAGCCAAACAGTGCTGTACTTGCACTACACAACAGCACTGTGTTCCTGTGGTGAGTAAGGTGACCAGAGCCCCATGGGGATGGGTTGTGCTGGTATTGGTGGACCTGTGTGTCCAACAGTGCCTCGGGATGCATAGGCGCGGCGTGGTGGCGCGGCGTTCAGGAGACCCGGTGAAACGGCTAACCGCTGGCCGCCCGCAGGTTGTTGGGTTCCCGAACCCAGGGATTACATAATCTCCGCCCTGGGAGGCTGAACCGCCGCCTGTGCATAATCCCTGGTGTAGTAGTCGTGCCGGAGGAGGAGACCGGATGCTACACCAGTGGGGGGACCGGGGCCCTTCCGGCCGCCGTGCCACCAAGTCGCCCAACCTGTGCAATGCTGGGGTGCGTTGATGCACCTTTTGCCCTTTCTGATACCGGCGCAACCATTCCCCTTTAACCTTAAAAAAAAAAAAATACTGCCATACTACCATGACCAGAAGTAAAAAAAGGAAATTATATTCAGCGGCACCCCAATCCACATTAGATATGGATTTCTGTAATATCAGGGGACTTCACGGAAACATCAATGCGGTCCACCATCACCTTGAGACCGCAAAGCCGACCCTCTTATTCCTTACGGAGACGCAGATATCCTCTCCGGCTGACACTTCATACCTGCTGTACCCTGGGTATAAACTCGAGCACAAATTTGTGCGTCGTGCCGGGGTTTGTTTGTATGTCCGGGAAGATATCTGCTGTCGCCGCCTTCTTGGTCTAGAAGAAAAAGACCTGTCAATCCTATGGGTTCGCATTGATCAGGGTGACTACACCGGCATCTA